TCTCAGAGATTTCGCCAGAGCCAATTGCAGCAGCATCCCTTGGTCAGGTCTGTATTTGGTTGGAGACTCTTCTATTTAACTATTCTCAAGAGTTGGTTAAAGCCTAACTCAAAATTTAAAGCTTAGTACTCTTTCTCTGCCAAGTAGGTCTATCAAGCCAGGCTTCGTCGCAGTGGTCAAGTTGTTGCTGTCAAAGTACAGAGGCCTGGAGTTAGGGCTGCAATTTCCTTAGACATATTGATCTTGCGCTTTCTAGCAGGGTTGATTAAGAGAGCTGGTAAATTTAATACTGATCTTCAGGTAAGTAAGAAATGTGTTATTGGGAGTTCAGCTGAACCTTTTTCTTCTTGAATCTGTTCCGTTTTCACTTACTTATACTAACACAAAGCATGTCCTCCAACTTTCAGGCAGTTCTTGATGAGTGGGCATCAAGTCTTTTCCGGGTAAAGTTGATAATATCTCCAACATTCACATGCTCCAACAATTAGAAGATAAATAACATGATAGTATTACAACCTTCCTGTCTCAACTGAAACTTATATTTTATATTCGGATTTACTTTTCAAAATAAGATAACTGAAAATACTCAACTGGTTGAAAATGTATAATGTTGTGTTTGTGCCTACACTTGGGCTGTATAATTTATGACAGAAGTTGTAGATGGTGCATATGTACATGGAAACTTTTCTAGTCACTAATTCTAGATTCTTAGATATTACATTTTTACTTCCTTGTTGAATTGTTAAACCTTACCCTAACTGGTTAATGCCCTTCTCTCTTTACAACACCATTGTTATAGTCCATTTTAGTGAGAGAAGTTGTGCAACATTCTTAGAACTTCATATTGAATACAGGTAAATCACATTGAATGCAGGAGATGGATTATCAGAAAGAAGCAGAAAATGGACTCAAGTTTAGGTAAGAGCATTGTTACAGGTACTTTATGACTTAATTATCCTTAAAATTGAAATTGAATTATTTTGTTGGTTTATTAAGTTGATATTTTTATTTTGTTTTTTTGTTGTATACTTAAAATTGGAAATTCTTAACATATTATTTCTTTGATCTTTTCATTATTATGTTAACCACTAATCTTGCCTTTTGCATCCGATTCTGTTTTATCACATAAATTAGGGATCGCTAACCATCCTCTACTCTGTGCTTTAATAGACAGCTGTATGGTGGCATAGAAGATGTTTTGGTTCCTGAAATGTATATGGATTACACAACTCGTACAGTACTTGTTATGGAATGGGTGGAGGTATTTTCTGTACAATTTCATCTTTTCCTTTTAAATTACAAAGTGTAAATTCTGAGCACAATCTAGAAGAGAGGACTTTAAAGTCCACTTTTCCACAAAATTTATCCCATTTTCTTGGAAATCATGTAATGAGATGTAATTGTCAAACTCACACTAACTATTAATTCTCCTCTTTTCTTTTAACATGACCTTCTGCTTTTAAAGAGGTAGAGAGGACTGTATCAGGCTATAGAGTTCAGGAGAGTTTTTCCTCTTTACTTTTCTCAGAACAACATAAATTGAGTGGCATATCTCATTCTGATTTGGAGGGCAGATCATGTGTAATCTTAAGTTACATGGTCTTTCTTTTGTCTTTTAGTAAAAAAGTTGCACTGTCTTCATGACTAACATTCAATCTTTCTTGATGACATCTTTATAAGTCCTTTGGCATATGCTGTCAATATTTTGCTGATATTTTCTGTTGTTTGGTTTTTCTAGGGACAAAGGTTGTCTGAAGTGCAAGATCTTTACTTGGTTGAGGTCACTGTTAATGCTAATTTTGTACTACTATTCTTAAACCATTGGCTTATGGAACCCCAATTACTTGTCTCAACAATAATTAATAAAATGGCTAACACCATGTCTGTTTCCTGGTAATGACAGGTAGGAGTTTACTGTTCATTCAATCAACTTCTGGAGTGTGGGTTCTATCATGCTGATCCACACCCTGGAAACCTTCTTCGTACATATGATGGGAAACTGGCTTATTTGGGTATACCTTTTAGATTTGAATTATTTCACATGTATACTCTAAGGAAGTTTTCTGTTGAACTAAATTTTCATCCCTTGATCTTAGGTTTTTGTTTGTGTTTTCCTTTTTCCCTGTTTTCTTGCTTAAAACAAGTTTAATTCACTACCGTTTTGAATTTAAATTTAATGGTAGAACACATATGCACTTTCAGTGTCCTATTTAATTCCCCAATTACACTCAGCTCAAAATGTAAATATCATTATCTTGCTCCTGGATCAGCAATTTTCTGTTTGTTGATGCATCTAATCAGATAATGGGAATCTAATTATAGAAATAAAATTGGCAATTTTATGATCAACACTCTAGTGATGTTGATTAGTCAATTTTTTTAATCTGCTCCTTGTCATGTATTGTTTGTTAATAAGGAAATTGTCCACAGCTTGTGTGCCTTACTGAACTAATCTGCCTTTTATGCTGTGTTTTAAATCTTAGTACTTAAATTTCTACATTTTTGTTGGTATTTGCCTTTATTATTGACCTTTTTTTATGCATCAATTGAATCATTATTAATGCAGCGATAGAATGGATACATGGGGCAGAATTAACCTTTTGTACTTTTCACCACCAGATTTTGGTATGATGGGTGAATTTAAACAAGAACTCCGAGATGGATTTATTGAAGCTTGTCTCCATCTTGTAAACCGTGATTTTGATGCACTGGCAAAGGACTTTGTTACCCTTGGGTATCATGATTCTACCCTCCATAACAATATCTGAGGTTTTTGGCTAAAAAAAGAGATAATAGCTGAAGCTTACTCCTATTGACTGTTGATGCTAAGATTTGAAGATTGTTAACTTGGCAGGCTTCTTCCTCCTACTGCAGAGAAGGAGGCTGTTACAAAAGCTTTAACAGGTTTCCTTTTCATGTTATTAACTTCCTTATACCTGTAGAATTTGATTCTACTGAATTGTTATTGAAGATGCACTGATGGAGTGATATTAACTAATTACAGTGTCCATTGTTTTGTTTGCCTATAGGTGTCTTCCAAAATGCTGTTGCCAAAGGAGTTCAGAATATAAGTTTTGGAGACCTTCTAGGAAATTTGGGAACTACCATGTAAAGTGTCCTTTCATTAGTTTTATCTCTA